TCGACTGGCGAGTGAGAAAGGGCGCAACGCGTGACCTTAACGAAAGGCAGTGCAGAGACTTGACTACAAATAATGTTATTCACTCGAATATTTCACGATAAGCTAAAGGTCGTAGCTTGGAAGACTGTGAGGAGAGGGTTAACACGGTCCTCCTCTCAGCGCTGGGCCCTGGCGGTCTTTCTTGATGTTGTTTCTATGCTGCTCCCAGTCGGTTTGTATCCAAGCCACCCATTTGTTGTTGATGACAAAACCTAGTCCATTGTCCGTAGAACGGTTTGGTATGGCAACTGTTACAGGAGATGTTAAGTTCTCTCAGCCACTGCACCGCATCGCGCCTACAGTCTTCTTGACGCTGTTATGACACCGAATCCGAAAGGTCGATGGAAAAAAGTAATCGGACGATGCAGCCCATGTCTAACGTCACTGTAAATTAATTAACGCGCAAGCCATCGTCCCCACACCCACCCGGCAGGGAAGCAGTCCTCGTCAGACTCGACGACCAACATGTCCCTTGACAGCAGTTTTGGAAGCATTTCATGATGAATCAATAAAACATATTAAAGAGTTAAATCGCGTAGGCCAGTGAATATATTTGACTTACTCTTGGCTATCTGAACTGACGAAATACTCGATGGTAGGGAGATCTGATGTCATAGGTATCAGTTCCTCCGTCTCCTTGGCTCGATAGCAGTTACCAAAGACGTTCAAGTAGCCCAGCAGAGGCAACACCATGCAGCCGATCGTAGAGCACAGGAGATAAAATACAATTACTCCAATCTATAAAGAAGATTGTTTAAAACCCATAATTGTTAATCTTCAATTTTGGTTTAAGAAAACTACCGTCTAACCGATTTAATAGGAATGCGTTCCCTTAAGTAGCCGCAATTCGGACTGTGGTTGAAATATGCGTTATGCCAATGACCGAATGGCAATGGATTCCAGCGATACTTTGAAAAATGAGGTGCACCTAAGAGGATTTCTCTCATTTTCAGCCATTCAAATAATTTGTAACTAAAACTCCTTAGGATCTAATGTTTGCAACCACGTTCTTATCGCTATGAACTTGCGTACGTATGTGATTGCGGTAGGCATGTAATACTGTTATTAAGTGCAAATCAGTCGACCCTAGGGTACTGTATGTTTTACTGTTAGCTTTAAGCGTGGGGTTAGTTGTAGGGTAAGAGTTATCTACAGCGGCGTTTCAAAAGAGCTTGTAGCTTTCTCTTAGTTAGAATTTCAAGCTGCTTCGTACAATGAATTGGCGCATTTAAGCAAACATCTGCGCATTTACTATTTTTATAGTTTTACCTCTACATTTGCATACCAGTTGCCACTTTTGTCCGCCTAATAAACCCCTAATCATCATAATTTCCGGATTACAGGCGACTTTACCTGTTGTCTTGCAAAGTAGTTGCAGATATGAGAACCTTACCGAATAAACCCTGAATCCCACGTAAGATTCATTGCTGGCTGGCCCAGTGTATAGACAGGCTGATTGTCTGCATTAAAATTTAAAACTTATTATACCAAACCCATAACCAAATAATCACGTCTGTGTGAAAATTAAATACCTCAGTTTCTTCGGAAAGGTAACCTTAGCCGCACACGTGTGCACACTCAAATTCAGAA